TCTCTCTCTCTCTCTCTCTCTCTCTCTCTCTCTCTCTCTCTCTCAAATAAATAAAAATAAAAAAAAATAAAATAAAATAAAATAAACACAAAGAACCCAGTTTTGAAGTTGGTCATCATTAGCACATGTACAGATTTACTGAGATCATTTCTACCTTTTCAAAGGGGCATCGTCAATTTTTTTATTCATCTAAAACTCACACTGTATGGAAAACAGGAAAAGGCCCCTGAAGCAACAGGGAAAACAGCCTCTTGGTTTGCTTGTTTGAACCCAGGACCTTGTGTTTGCCAGGCACGCGCTTATGCTGCAGAGCTATCTCCCCAAACCCAAACAGTCCCTTGGTCATGTAGGTCACCTGAGCCTGCTGCCATGAAGTAAGGTTTAATACCTCCTATTTCTTTTTAGGGAACACTCCACCAATGTCATGGAATCCCACTCCAGCCCCCCCCCTTTTTTTAAACTTAAGAATCCATAATCTTAGCGGTCTTTGTGGCACATCTCTGAAATAGTGGTACATGCCAGCATTCAGGAGGTTGGGGCAGGAGGGTTGCTTTGTGTTCAAGGCCAGCCTCATCCACATAGTAAGTACAAGGCCAGCCTGAGCTACACAGCAAGACCCTAGCCCAAAATAATAATTAAAAAAAAAAAGAATCTGTAAATTTGACTGTGTACAGTGCCACATGCCTATACCTTCAGCTGCTTGAGACAGCTACTTGAAGATCATAAATTGTGACCCCTAGGGAACATAAAGCCTTATCTTAAAAAAAAAAAAAATTGTAATTGTTTAAATTCTCTAATTGTATGGTAAGGATTTTTCAAGCAGCTCCTTATAATGCTCTTTTAAGAAGCTATAGAGGGGCTGGGGAGATGGCTCCATGGAATAAGTGCTTCCCTGGCAAGCGCAAGGGCCTGAGTTCAATCCCTGGTTCCGTAAAAAAAAAAAAAAAAAAAAAGGCAGCTAGATTGGAGACATCTTATAGAGCTACTCAGGAGCTGCACAGGGACATAAAGATGCCCACCAACTTGGTCCCCCCACCCCCCATCCCACTTTATAGTTCCAGGGGCAAAAGAGAAGCACTGGAGGATTAAAACACAATTGTTCAGAGCCCATTTGGAGCTGGGCGTGACTTAAACTCACTATGCAGCCCAGACTGGCTCCGAATTTATAGCAATCTACCTGCCTCAGCCTCCCAAGTACTGGGATTATAGGCCAAATCCCTTTTTTTTTTTTTTGAAAACTTTATGAGCTTCTTAACTTCTGTGGCATATTTTCCAGAATCAGCTGGTCAGTGAGATTTATCTACAATCCACTGCCAGCCGGCAAAGAAAGCAGTGTGGCAAGGTGCAGTTTCCCTAGCACACACATCCATCCCAGCCAGCTTCGGGTGGAGCATGGGATCCGGCTCTGGCTCTGGCTCTGGCTCTGGCTCCTGCTGCCAGAAGCTGCCAGAAACCAGCTGCTGTGGAAAGCAATCACACAGGGAGGCCATGCAGGAAGCCACATGCAGACAACTCAGATTCAAAAAGCTGTTTCCCAGAGAAATGTAAATCAGTTCAACAATTTTGGAAACACTGCCAGTATGTTTTACTAACTGGAATCTGGGCACAAGAATGTTTCCAGCTTCTCCCAAAACTCATCTTAGAAATTGGGTTTTATGCAAGCACTGTGAAACAGTGCAAATGGGATGGATAAAGGTCATGGAACCCTCATTCGTATTATTACTGGAAATTATTTTTCAGCTAGTTGACTGAGACTCCAACTCAGTCATCTGCGAGACTGAAGAAGAAGGACCTCCCAGAGAAATGCCATGTGCAGAAGGACCAGGAGTTTGGCTGGACTTTTTCCCGTTATTCGGGACCGAACCCTTGACTGGAGTGTGAACATTACAGTGTGGCCTCATCCATTTATTCACCAGATCTGGCACTGTGCAACTTCTGGCTCTTCCCAAAGACTAAATGATCATAAAAAGTAATTTAGTTTTGAAGTTGTTTAGGACATCCAGGCAGCCAGAACAGGACAAGTGTTCACCGCATTTTCCACCACAGTTTGTTCGGGGCTGTGAGGGTCCACAAGGAAGACCTGTGCACCTGGGCGGTCCTGGACGTGGTGCTGGGGACGAGCTCAGGCGGGAAGGTCAGAAGGACCCAGGACCGTGTAACTGCAGTTTTTCCCACTGGAGGGTAACCTGGGTTATGTGGGAAATAAGAACCTACATTGTCAGTCTGACGGCAGACCTCAGTGTTCAGAAAACACAGGAGGCAGAGGAACACGTGAAATTGTCACAGGCAGCCAAATTAGATAGAAAACTTATAGGCAGTCAGACAGGGCCAGGCCCTCGAAGGAGACAGCACAGAAGATGAGATGCCTTACAACTGTGGGAGGGGCAGACGCTCCCGCTGTGAACCAGACCTAAAGACCTAAAGGCCAAACAAATGCTAAAAGAGTAGTACCTGAGATTGATATTCTAAATAGGTATGATCACTTGGAAAGACCCAAGTGAGTCACTAGCCCAACCCCAACAGGAAGAAACCCTGTCTGTATTCATGCCTGCTTACTCTGTGACTTGCTTCCCCATTTGGTCCTGGGCATAATCAGCTTTACCTGAGCAATGGTGCTTGAAATCCCTTTGGTTGACCATAGTTTTGTCCCAACCCACATCCAACTAAGCAAGTTCCCATTCTCTCCACCTTAGTCCTGCGTAGTTTTACACTATAAAAGTCCCTGGAAGAGACAGCTTCCCGGGGAACAACCCGTTGTGGGAGGCCCTCCTGTCCCTCTCTTGGACAGGAGCTTTCTTTCTCTCAATAAATATATTCTGCTCACAGCCTCCGTTTGTTCCTAAAATTCATTCTTTGGTTTTAGAGAACACGAACTCGTGCAGGTCAGGTCGAGAGATCATTCTTCCCTATGTCATTTGGAGGTTCCCTGTATCATTTGGAGGTCACCCACTAAGATCAGTTTTTCTCCCTGTATCAAAATGATGTCACAGGGGCCGGGGAGATGGCTCAGTAGAATAAGTGCTTGCCTGGCAAGCACAAGGGTCTGTGTTCAATCCCGGGTTCCGAAAAAAAAAAAAAAAAAATGATGCCACAGGGATGTGATCTGCAAAGTGCACAGCACAGGACACCTAAAGAGCAACTACCAAGCTTAATAATTAAACTGCAAAGAGAGGGGCTGGGGAGATAGCTCAGTAGAATAAGCCTTTGCCCGGCAAGTGCAGGGTCCTGAGTTCAATCCCCAGTACTGCAAAATAAATAAATAGCAAAGAGAAAAAAACAGCCAGGGAACCTGTACATTTAAAAAGTCCTTTAAAGATACAAATTAAAAAAAAATAAATAATAAAAAGTAAAAAAAAAAAACCGCTGGGTGTGTATGTGGTTCCCTGGTGGGGGCACTTGCCTGGGGTTACGTCCCCAGTACTCCACCCTCACATAGACTTAAAAAGAGATGTATTTGTCAAGTGCAATTGTGAGCTCTGCCTGGACCCTGACTTTAACCAATCAACTGAAAAGCAAAATAAAATTTTATGAAACTATTTTATATTCAGGAATTACTACTTTTAGACAGGATCATACTTTTGCTATTTTCTAAAGAATTTGAGATACATTCTTAAGTATCTTATAATGGCATAAAATCTCTGGAGTTTCCTTTAAAATAATAAGTTTGCTGGGCAAGATGGCATAAACCTGTAACCCCAGCACTCACTCCAGAGGCTCATGCATGATTGTCTCAGAATTCAAGGTCAGTCTCAGCAAGTGAGTTCAAGGTCAGCCTGAACTCCCAAGCAAGACGATCTCATAAAAAAAATAATTAATACAGCTGTAGCAAGGGAAAGGATATTATAAAATGGTGCAGCTATAAATTAAACAAG